TTAACATGAATGAAGACATTTTTTGTGATGTGGTCTGGAGCACATAGTTAAAGTTAGAGCTTTGCAAACCATTATTAAAGAAGACTAACGCTAACTAACTCAGACTGGAACTACAGGATGCCACTATTGGTGGATTTTAACATCCCATCCAGAGCACATAAGTGATAATTACATCCACAATTACTAATGTTATTACTGTTTTTCTGTGAACTGGTAAATGGACCTGCACTTGTATAGCGCCTGTCTCGTCATCTGACCACTCAAAGCGCTTTTGACACTACATTCACCCATTCACACACACATTCATGCACTGGTGGCAGAAGCTACCATACAAGGTGCCACCTACTACTCAGTTTTCAACACACTCACACACCGATGGAACAGCCATTGGAAGCAATTTGAGGTTCAGTGTACTGCTCAAGGATACTTCGACATGCAGACTGAAGGAGCTGGGGATCGAACCATTCCTTTTCTGCTTAGTGGACGACCAGCTCTAAGATGTCTTTGTATTTTTAAGAATCACCATGATATCGTGCTAAAAACTTCCAGGGACTGGCAGTTGATTTGGATTGAGAAAATATGTGAAACTGGCAATCTTGTTTTTTTCTGTTGTCACTTTCAGCATTATATGTAACGTTTAAAGATAAATAGTTAAACATGGCTGATCAACCTGTCTGGCATTTCTGCTGTGCTTATGTTTTATGTGCTCTATCTCTGAATCACAGGCATTAAAGCTAAACAATGCTCTGCTGTGGATGGGGGCTGCAGCAAAATGTATTTTAACTACTCAAAACACCTACCTTAAAAATGATTTAATTTAAGAGTACACTCTGTACACTCTGTACACTCTTTTATCACCTTACCTTACAGACTAACTGATGCAGGTAGCAGTAGACCAGAAACTCCAGCTTTCTATAAAGTAAAATGACTGTTTTTGGCAGTGGAGCCTTTTGGCTTTAAGGTAATGGCTCCAGTTTCCTATCAGAGATTTCTGATAAATCTTTTTTAGTATAGCCTACTTTTAAACAGATATCGATTTTTTAGGTGGGCCTTTTTGTAGTGGCTAAAAACTACACTACTGTTTGCTCAGTGCCATTTCATTTTATGTACTGGATGTGGGGGTTTCTACCAGGAAATAATTGGAAACATACGGTGGGATTCAGTCTATATGACGACTGAAAAATACAGCCATCAGGAGAACAAGACCCCATGAAAGCTTGTCAAATGAGTGAGTATGTTTGTTTAGGAGTGTACCCATGGATGAAACATATCACTTGATTACCTAAAAATGTGATCATTCTGAAGCATCCTTTTCTATGACTTCTGAGCAGATTTATTGATGTTTAGATGCAATGGACATGCTCAGGAAGTAAGTCACACTGATTTATATTAGTATCTCTTGCATGTCTGTGTGACTGAGTTATGACTCAGACTGGTCCTTTGCCTTAAGCTTGTCAGCAAAAACACAAGTGTCTGCTTACTCCTTGAGCACAGCGGGGGAGGGGAAAACTCGCACACACACTGTGAAAAAGATGTCAATTTGCGGTGTTGTACCGACATAGTGTGTTTATTTTGAAAGAGACTACATGCAAACTGTACATTTCCTGTGAAAACAGAAGTGTATTTTGAAAACAGACAATGCTTGTAACAGGCTGAGGTTGACAGGGCGTCCCAGAATGTCAACAACCAACACAGCCAGGGTACCTTGCACGTCATAACTCAATAGAAAAGTCCATGACCAAATGTCGATATGTGACGAGGTTGGAGCGAGAATGTGTTGGCTATTTTGGCTTTATGTGCCACTGAGTGGCTTTCATAGTAATAACCAGGGTCCTCTAATGCTGTATCCAGGGGGGTATTCCATCAAGCAGGCTAAAGGCAAATCCAGGCTTAAATGGCCAAGTCTGGCTAATGTGAGCCAGAGTTCTGTTCCATCAAATTGACTAAGATTAGCCTCACATCGGTAACCATGGAAACCATGGTTCTGGCTAAGCCTGATACATCGAGCTAAACTCCGGTTTCTGTTCCATCAACCTGAGGCACAACTCTGTTCCATCAAAGTGGTTAACCTGAATCCCAGCCTAGTAACCATGGTAACTTATGCTGCCGGGCAATCCTGGTTTTAAACAGGATTAAGGTGAGGATTAGCTCCATCTATGATCAAAAAATGTTCAATAGACAAGAACAGACACCTAAGAGACAGTTCTGCCAGTGCTTTTACACACTCACAACTGTCATGTAATGATAAAATAATATGTAGATCATAAAATATATAACATAATTAATCAAAAAACATTAGCTATTAAAAAACAAATTAAAATGTAATAAAAATAAGATAATTAAAAAAAAACATTTACAACAATAAAGCCAAAATCAAACTAATAACAACAAAACTATAATAAAATGAAACTGAGGCATTAAAAAAAGATTGTATATGTACACCAAACCACATGAATATGTGATTGCCCTCCCATTCCCACCCCACTCTGTTTCCAATTGGCTAGTAAATTCACAGCCAATTAAGATCAACTGACAACGGCCATATAAGGAGTGCATCCAAGAGAAGGAGAGGGATACACCCAGAGAGACACAGAGACAGAGCAAGCAGGATATTCTTATATTTTATCTTGACCTGCTGCCAAGTCCTCCTCTGGCTACTGAGACTGCTTCTGTTGAGACATAACAGTGAGGGATGAAAATGGGACACACACCATTGTGGTCTGTCTGTTCCTCATCCTATAGCACATTCCATACATTTAAGGGGATTTTTCTTATTTTGATATAATAAGGGATAGAGCTTACAATTGACTCCAAAATGATGAGAAATAGATAATCGATTCACTATGACCTGCATTCACTTAATAGGTTTCCTCATCTCCACTGAATTGAGGGATTTGCTAAATGTGATTTTCTACAATCAATAGATAATGTGATCATGTGATTATTTCCCATAAACTGATCATTTCATAAAATGTCATAATCTACAATCAATTAGCCTATGTGATAAATGCGATGATTCACATAAAATAGTTTGATTAAATGCATCATCTGAAATTTACATAGGAATCAGTAGATAAATGTGATAAATAGTCTATCACTAATATTAATTTACACATTTGGTGAATTTCATTAGGCATACTTAATTTGTTAGATTTAATAGGTGTTCTTATCTACATATATTTTGTCCCTTTGATGCGGGATTTATATAACATGATATTTTCTTTGTCACTTACGCATTTAGCCTGTCAGCAATATTCCGCCACGCCACCTCCCTTGCTTTATTAATCACTGCCGTATTGCCTTTTTTCTTAATTATGTCCTTATAGTCCTCATACACTTCCATAAGGAGCGTTTGCTCCGCCGCAGAAAAAGGCTCCGTTCGCTCCTTTCCTTTGCTTTTTGACATTCTGCAATTTTCGGCACTCGACTATTGTGGGCTTTTTATTTTCCCTGGGCGCGTGCATGAGTTGAGGCTTAACAGGTGAGCCTTGAATTAGTGTCAGTTGGAGCCATCTGATTTCACTTGATGGAACGGGTTGGGGCTAGATTGGGAGTTGGCGTTTAGTCAAACTTCAAGATTACAGATATTCTTAGCTATGTTGATGGAATACCCCCCAGGACTCTTAATACATCCATGGCCTGGAAGTGTGCCAAATATCTTACATTAGCTTGTCATTCATTATCTGTTAATATGGCAGTTATGATTGTTTCACAGTAAGGACTACAGTTGCTAACATTTTATCAATAAATGCATGTGAACTGTGAACACACAAATGACATTCCAGTCACCTCCATTATATTGGGGGTGGAGGCAGAAATATAAGAGACGGATATCTATCTCTTATGAAGGGGTTTTTTGGGGAGTTTTTCCTTATCCGCGGCGAGGGTCCAAAGGACAGAGGGATGTCGCATGCTGTAAAGCCCTGTGAGGCAAATTATGATTTGTGATATTGGGCTTATAAATAAAATTGATTGAATTGATTGACTGATATCTCAGACCTGGACAAATACACTTAAAATATCTGCATGGATAGATACTCCCTCAAAAAATGAATTAATGTTAATGGTTTCAGTCTATAAATACAGGCATCAATAAATCATTCAAATGTGTGTGGGAGACACAAATGGGAGAGAAGCAGGAGTGTTTCTATTTACCTGCAGTCCCTTTTTGCATGTGTGTGTGTGTGTGTGTGTGTGTGTGTGTATGTGTGTCATTGGTGCGGATGAGCAGCAGGTACAGTTGGCTGGGGGCCGAGATTCCTGCAACACTGAGTCACATGGGCTGATCATTATCTCATGCAAACACATACACAAGCGTGCATGCACAGCAGGGATCAGGGTATTGTATGATTGCACAAGCCCTTCCCCCTCCCCAGATCGCTGCCCTCCTTCTCTGTCTGTCTCCCTGTTGTCTTGTTTGCTCTCTCTCTCTCTCTCTCTCTCTCTCTCACTCACTCACTCACTCCCTCACTCACTCACTCACTCACACACACACACACACACACACACACACACACACACACACACACACACACAGCGACACATAAACACATGCTCAGCAGAGAGAATGTCATTGCAGAGAGTTCAGGAAGTAAGAGGTAGGAGTTCACAGAGAGAAGAGTGTATCCATTTTCAAACTGCTGAAATCTTTTTGCATTATTTAGTCAGCACTGGTGCTCCCCGTCTACAGTATCACCACTGGATCCTGCTTTATGTGTGTGTGAGTGTTACCGCTGCTTATCAGAGGGACCCTTCGACCATAATGGATATCTATTCTAGGAAGCTGTCACTGTGGGAGCAGCGAGTGTGCTGGGAGGAGAGCGGCTTGGATTCCACTCTCATGTTAGGACTCTGAACACTCCTTCTGTTTTGCTGTCTTTTATCCTGCAGGTTGACTGTACTGGCTCACGCTGTACTTGTTATTACGGTAGTTACAGCCTTAACCTGGATCATTTTTTGGTTGTTTTTCTGATTATTTCTTTTCATTTTTCTCTTGACAGATGAGAAGGAGGACACGGTGTTAGGGAGTTTGCCGCTACCAAGTTTCCGAATCGGAGAAGTGGAGCCTTCAGATAACATCACCCGCAAGTTTTCCTTTAAGGTTAGTAACATCCTGGTGGAGGGACAGAGGGTGCTTGGAGGTCCATGTGTAATTGCATTTCATGCAGGGGATGCAGTGGCTACGGGAAGGATAATGAGTGTGCATGACTTTCAATGTGCCAGACATTCATTAGCGGAAAACAAACTGGTTCTATGTAGAAACATTCAGGCAGCAGTACTGAAAGACTGTTGGTTGTTGGTTTCTTGAGTGACAGCAATCCCTCACTGAACCACTCTAACCCCTCAACACTCCTCCTTGTGCAATCTGACTGCTTGTTGCAAAAGCAGGATTTACTTAAGTTTGAACTTGTGCCTTGGTTGCATGGCTGTGGCTCAGTGAGGGTGTTGGTTTGGTTGTGGTTGACTGATAGAAGCTGACTGGCCCCATTGCTTAGTCACATGATGTTATTTATGACTGTCATAGAGCCCCATGGGGGCTGCTGTTTGGACTGATGTTGGATTATTTTAGTTGAGGAGGCAACCTTGCTGTAGGACTTATGGGTTTTGCTGTTTGATCAGATTCTCATGTTTTTTTTAAATCAGATATTGCTTTATGTAAATGTTATGTATATTATGTTAATTTTGTATACATCAGAGCAACCCCGTGGCAAATATTTGGAAACCCAATATTATCCAATATTTTGGATACTGCAACCGATCAAACATTCAGTTACATCATAATGCTTTGCCTTTTTTTCTTTTTTACTCTGATGAAGTTGAGTGGTTTTGAAAGAGGCTGACAAGAAGCTGCATGAGTAAGCAAGCATCAAACTTTGACTGATGAAGATGGTTGGATAATGAGTACATTTTTATGACTCCGGCCTGGCAAAAGCTGTAACTCATTCTCTTGAATGCAATATCTCAAGAACACCTCAACAGAATTTCTTCAAATTTGACACAAACATCCACTTGGACTAAAAAATAATCTGATTAGAATTTTGTGGTCAAAGGTCAAGGTCACTGTGACCTCACAAAACTGCTTTTGGCCATTACTCAAGAATTCAAATGCTAATTATGACAAAACTAGATACAAATGTCTAATAGGATATATTGATGAAGTGATGACATTTTATATCCAAAAGGTCAAAGGTCACCTTCACTGTGACATCATAGTGTTCTACAAAAAACACTTTTCTGGCTATTACTCAGCGTCATATCTCAGGAACAGAAGGGGAAATATTTGGTCAGATACTGAACTGGTTACACTAATCTTGAGTGCTGAACTTGAAACTGTGCTGATTGTGAAGATCTTCTGTGCTGCTGTGGGGAAGATGTGTGTGAAGCATCCATTTTTTCACAGACGTGTGTAAACTGTAAGAGAAACTTGACTGGTGTGCAGAGGCATACAACCACTGGGTGGTAATTTTAGTTTTACCTTAATGCGGCTTGAAAAAAGGCTCTCCAAAAACAACCAGTTTAGTAGTATCACATCTGTGATGTCCAAGATGGACAGGACTGACAGGGCTTTGTCCCACTTTAAAAACATCCTTGTCTGAAGACACAGTGGGACTTCTCTGAAAGGCTCATGCACTGTTGGCAGCAGGTAATGATAATCACAGACAAAAATATTTTAATTGTATAATTGCTGTTTTTGATAAACAGATAAAGGTTGTTTTTCCTCAGATCTTGATGAATCAGTCAGCAGCACTAACAGCTGAGATAAAAAGAGCTCCAGAGGCAGCAGCAGCAGCAGCCACAGCACATAACCTGACAGAGCAGTTTGTCAGAGCTGAATAAAGATGAGACAATGGGGATGTAATGTAGGTTAGCTGAATCTGAATCAGCTGAGTAAAGCTTTATATAAGTTGGACAGTTAGCCTTGTTTCCCCTTCAGCATCAGCATCAAACACACACACACACACACACACACACACACACACACTCACAGTGACAGCTCTCTCTTCAGCTCTCTGCCCCTGTGAGCCTCTTTGCTAACTTCACTTACTCTTTGTTAATATCAGTTTTCTTCACTTTTTCAGAACATTTAGTCCTGTCTGTTGTTCTCTTTCTTTACATGTCCAGTGCAAGCACTGGTGCAAAGTCCAGTACATTAACCCAGTGTACACACACACACACATACACACATACACACACTCGCCCACACACACACACACGCACACACACACACACACACACACACACACACACACACACACACACACACACACACACATCTGCAGTTGAGGCAGACTGAGCAAATACACTCAATGTGGCTTTGACTGCTTGCCAAGGGTTATGGTGCTGCATTTCAGCTAATGTTCTAACTGGAAAGTGAGTATACTGTCCCTGTCTAATATCAATCTGAAGTGTCAGTCATAATATTAACAATTAATTAAGCTAGCCCTTTCCCTTGCTTCCAGTCTTTATGCTAAACTTAACTAACCACATCCTGACACACCTTTTAGTATTTTTGGAAAGTTTTATATTTAGGACAACACACCATGTCTGGACTCATCATTCAGTAAATCTATTGTGAAATTCTGTCCAACACTGAGATGTTTAGCAGGCGGCCTTCAGCAATATGGAACACTTGTAAACATTACATTTATAAAACATCTGCTGTTACTTGATACTATGATGGTTTTGTGCTGATTTTCAGTTGATGTTGATCATCTTTTGCTCATGCTGGTGTGGGTGCAGTTGCAACAGAGCTGTTTTTTTTGTGATCAAATTTTTATTTTATTTTAAAGACAAATATAGATTGGTATATGGACGTTACAAAAATAGAGCATAAGAATATATATTCCCACACATACCTATACATATGCACATATAATGATACATATGAGAAAACTACTAAAGTAAAATAAAATAAAATAAAAAAATAATGAAAATAATAAATATATATATATACATATACATACACACACAAATACACACATGCACACACACCTATACATATATATGCATATGTACATGCACACACCCATACACACAGATACACGTAATAAAATAAATAAAATGTAAATAATGATAATAATATAAAAAATAATAGTAAACAACCCCAAATATAACCTACCCACCCCTGGATCCAGAACTCCATACCTCAGTCACATATTACACCTGAAACCCACGGAGTATAGTTAAAAGTGAATGCCAAGCCTCTATCGCTGATTCTTTTGCTCCGTGGACTCTAGCTGTCGACAATTCCAAATAAACAATATCTAAATATGTTAGAACCCATGCTCGAAAAGAGAGTGAATGTGGAGGTTTCCAACGTGTAGCAACTAGTTTTTTGCAGCCGTAAGTCCAGCCAACAGTGCTCTTCTCATGTCCAGTGTCAAACCCAGCTTTGACAAATCATTCAAAATGAGTGTAGCAGGCGAACAGGGCAATCTAATGTTAAACAACTTGGAGAGATTAAATGCAACCATCTTCCAAAATTCGGCCACTGGGGTACACTCCCAAAACATATGAAAAAAACTGCCGATCACTTTGGAGGAGCAAAAAGTACATATAGGATCATCAATAACTTTCATCAAATGAAGCTTCCTAGGAGTTAAGTATAACCTATGTATATAATTGAAATGTATTTGCTGATGATCAGGATTTCTAGATGCTAAACCCACACTAAACCACACTTTATCCCAGTCAAATGTAGGTTCCAAACCTGGAACATCTCTCCTCCATATCATGTCTAACGCCAGAGGTCTGTAAGAGTGCTGCAATAAGAACCAGTAGAGTCTCGATGCAAAACCACTTGTGCTCCCAGCAGAGTGGAACAATTTACGAAGAGGATGTGGTGTGAGGGGGCCCTGTAAAGGGACACCATTGTCTTTTAAAGTCGATCTCAACTGCAGATAAAAGAAAAAGGAGGTACGTGGCATACCATGCTTAATACATATGTTCTGAAAAGTAAGTAACCCTCCCTCCCCATAAATATCACCAAGTGTAGAAATGTTTTTTTTTCCCAATCAGGAAAACAAATAGGATGACTGCCAATCAATAAACTCTTACTGTTAAATATTGGAGAGTGTGGGCCCCAAACAGAAGAGCAATCAGCTAATTTCTCCGCCCTCCTCCATATCAATAGCAAATATGAAATGATGGGACCAAATCTCAAACGGCAATGATGGAGTTAAATATTAGAATGCAGAATGTTAATAAAAGAATATGAAGCTATCATCTGTTCCTCCAAAGCTCGCCATGACACTTGAGCATCAGACTGAAACCAAGTTAAGAGAGGTCTAAGTGTGAAAGCCCACTTATAAAACATGAAGTTCGGGAGAGACAGGCCGCTGGCCTGCCTTTCTTGCTGCATTGTGGTGAGCTTAACACGAGGGCGTTTGCCATGCCAAATAAATTTAGTTATTGCTGACTGTAATTTGTTCCAATATTGAGTGGGCGGGGGAAGGGGAAGCATTGAGCTAACAAAGTTGACTCTGGGCAGAATATTCATTTTAATTATAGCTACCCTGCCACAAAGTGAATTTGGCAGGTTAGGCCAACTGTCCAGATCTGCCATAACTTTGTTAAGTGTGTTACAAAAATTGTTTTAATGATTGTCTGTATAGAAGATGAAATATCTATCCCCAGATAAATCAAGTTTTTAGCGACTGGAATAGATGCAGGGATGGGAGCATTACACATGGCCTGATTTAAAGGTAGCAAAGCTGACTTCTGCCAATTTATTTTGAAACCAGAGAGGTTCCCATAATGTTCAAAGGTTGACAAAACGTGGGATACATTGCACTGGGTTGTTTATATATAATAAAACATCATCACCATACAGTGAGATGTAATGCTGTGTTCCTCTGATGGAGATTGGAGAAATTGTGGGTGAGCTGCGGATGGCTTGCGCCAATGGTTCAAGGGAAAGGGCGAATAACAGAGGGCTGAGAGGACAGCCCTGTTTTGATCCTCTCGAGATAGCAAAGGGAGGAGAGCTAGTTTTGCCTGTAAGCACTACAGCTGTCGGGTTATTATATAGCACCTTAATCATATTAATGAACGGCATGCCAAACCCCATAACCTCAAGCACTGACCACAGAAAGGGCCACT